AGACCTGAAGTATTAAATCTCAAAGGAGCGTTTAAGTCTTGAGGTGCATGATGGGAAAGTTAAGATATCTCAGCCTCTAGTGCTTCATTTCTGCCCATTTGGTTTTTAACCTGTCTCCTTGGAGTCTCTCAGCTTTAAGAAAGTGTAATAGAAAATGTAAAGTGGAACCATGCCACCTTCTAAAGGAACATAAGATATTTCTGGTTCCTTTGTTGATCAACGTGATGCTACATTTTTCTACACCATTATGGCTCAAATAAAACAAACAATCAGCTATGGATTGCATTATGGTTTAAAATTAGAATATGAAGCTTGAAGTCCTTTATTAAATTGCTAATCTGACCCTTTTTCTGTTTTGGAGATTCCCAATATGCACCAGCATCTTAGTGCCACTGGGAGGCAGTGCCCATCCTCATAATACCAGTTAAAGAGATTATCCCTGTTCACACTAGCTCTGGTTATTAACGCTGTCAAGCACTGTAATTCCTTCTTTTCATGACCACAAAATCCCATTCAGCTGTGACAAAAGGAACGTATGAATAATTTGCTCATGACAACCACTGATCTCCACTGATCCAAACATGCATACTGCGGTGCTTCCTCCTCGGTGCTATCCAGCAGGATTGGTAGGTAGATGAAGTCAGAAGTGTGCTCCATTTAAATAGTGCCCGAGGGGGGGAAACGCTGTTCTTTGGCGCTCAAGCTGAGCATTTAAGCACATTTCTCTGCACTCCCTCTTTGTCCACATTTCAAATTCAGACGGATTCACCGTCAGGGAGCTTCTGGTGCTCCGCTGACCTCTGGGCTTAAGATTTGATGGAACCATGAAAGAGAGCAAATAATGAGCTTCCACACATTTTTGATTGGAGTGATAATTCCTCTAATGCATTTGAATTTTTTTTTTATTATTTTTGTGTTGGGGGAGCGGGGAGAGACAGAATCCCATCGCAAGGACACTGCATTTCAATGAGAAGCCCTCCGCTCAGCAGTCTGTCACATGCCAGGCTTCCCCCAAACACGCTTGATTAACCTGCACAGCGAGACAAATGTGGGCAAAGCTCCTCGCTCATTTTCTCTGCATTAATCGTTGTCTAGGTTAGGCATAAATTTGTTTTACACTCCATCCTCGGTATTTTATTCATTTATTTATTCCTCTCCTGGTTCCAATTTGGCACCACGCTGTCTGGCAGAGTCAAGGCTGTGGAATTAGCAGATTATAACAGTCCTTTTCTAGCAGACGACATTTGGCGGAGCTTTACTCACGGTGCCACTCGGCCTCGAGAACCTACAGTAAATCCAGCTGTTTGAAGAGAAGACGAGGCGTAAATGAGAAATTCCAGGTGTAGCTCTCCTGTTTCTCTTGACCTTCTCAATTAACATAAAGTCCAATTTGCTTGGTGGAAACACACTTTCCCTGCCTCCGTCCCTCGTGGATTACGGTGAAACAGATAAAAAATGAATTAGTCTCCCAGAAGATCACTAAAGATACAGTGGATTTGCAGCACAGGTGCATAGATGTGTGCAGATATACTCCCATGGCTGATGCTATGAGGTTGCTTACTTGCATTTATCCCTCTATGTAATTAAATCGTGTGTATTTTGGCGTCCAACCTCCAGAGTTGAAAATCACCTCTGCTGAACCTTAAGCAACCTGCTTCACCCTTCATGTGTACTTTCTTCTCTCCCCACCAGCAGGAACTCACTGATATTTTCTTGCCAAACACACCTGCTGTAGCATTACCCATGTTGCTGCTTTAACAGTCAAGGTATGTCTTGCACGCTTGAGCAACTGGCAGATTTACAAGCTGAGTGCACTCCTTTGTCTCACGTCTTTCAGTGAAGCCTGGTTGTAGCTGCCAACGCAGAAACGGTGATTTGAAAGGAATGCACCTGCCTGAGCACAGAGGGGTCGTTTAGTTTACACTGATGCACTGATAATTCTCGCCGGAGTCTCTTTTTTTTTTTTTCTTGTGCAGAGAAAAAAAAAAAAATCCAGTCCTGTCACTGCTAACTGAGCATCGGATTCACAATAGCGGTGGTGTTGCCTAATATGTTCCTGGGGACGTATTAGCCTGTTCCACTGCTTTCTCAGAGCTTGTCATCTCCTATGAAATCTGGTTCTGTGAGATTTTTTGCGAGCCATTCTCTTGAGTGATTCAGTTTAGGGTGATTATGTAAGCGCAGAGAAAGTCAGCGGAGAAATTCAGCTTTTAAGTCTTGTAGTAACTGACCTAAAACACTACTATTTTAAATCTTACTTTCAAGTTATTATTTTTTTTCATCTCAATGCAGCCTTGTCTAATGCTTTACAATCAACAACATTACAAATCAACAAATAACACAAAAAATACAATATGCTGCAGATTTATTGTAGTTGGTACTCAAATCTGATTGAGGTTTGACTTTGGGTATGATAGCCCTCTTATGAAATGCTGTTTACATGCGAAAGGTTGCTAAGGGTCAATTTGATCTCAGAGGAATTTCATAACGTCAGAAGTGTCCTTTTCACCTCCGAGCATTTATTTTTAATCATGCTCAATATAACATGAGTTCCTCTTGGCCGGGCTTCCTCTTCAGGACTGTGGAATGAGCCATCTTTGCCTGCGGTCTAGATCTCCCAAGATTCTTTTCCTTTGCTCAATAAGAACTTCATGGCTTGGTGAACAATGACTCACTGACACAATACGTCTGTTCCAAAAAGAACCTCTTACATCCTTCCTGCCCCGCAGCTGCTGGCTGTGTGATACCGGAGAGTACGATGGCAGAATATGAGGGCAGAGGTTACAGGCAACAGAGCATGCAAGCTTAGAAAATAAGGCTGTTATATGAGAGCATTTGGCTTGTAAAAGGCACCATAGAGACCATAGGTGTGGATTTAGTGTGAACGTGAGAGGTCCACTCTGATGAAAGTTTGCATCACCGTACGCTTCATTTTCTGCATTCTGGTCAGTTTTTATGGTCAAGTTTGTGATTTTCTGCCTCACTTTTTGGTGGAAATGTGAAAAAACAAAATTCAAGCACGAGTCGACAATTCAAAATATATCATAATATCATGTATTAATGTTGTTGGGTATTCTGTATTGCTTTCTAACACTTACTATCCTGTAGATCACCTTTGCTTAGTTGTTTAACATTAGCCCTGCTGAGTCAACACACATATCAGCATGATTTACTCTTGTGTACTCTTATTCAGGCTTTCGACTCTTTAGATATCCATGCTCCAACTAATATGAGACATTTAAGTGAATTGATAAACCCCTGGACATTTATAGCTCATGTGTGTTTCATCAAGATTTCTGTTCATGATAAAAAAAAACAAAACACAACTTTCTGCACATTCAGAACATATCCTGAAACTCCTACTAAAGAAAAAAAAGAACCTGCTTCTGTGGGAATATATGAATCAATGCTTTCTTTCATGTTTTTGTTGGTAGGGGCATGAATTCTAAATGTTTATTCTGTCAGTGCCATCTCATTTCACCTTTGCCACAGGTGGCTCAGATGTCTTTGTGAATATCTGGGACCCACTCAAGAAGAAGCAACTGTGTCGGTGCCACAGTGCTCGCCTCCTCCTGTATGTATAAGAAAGGAGGATGCCATCTTCGTCCCCAGATGCAGAGACAACACCCAAGTCAACCTAAGTGCACTGCTGAATGGTTCCCTCTGCGTTTGAGGCCTTTATCACATTCAATTTATCTGCTGGCATGCAGTGTACCATTACCATAGCTGTCATTTCTTGCCATTCTGTTACATCACTTTTTCTTTGTAGGGAAGGATTCTTATCATTTTCTCCTCTCTTCTGGCTTATTTTAAACATTTCATTGTTTCATATATTGCCATCTTGGTCTTTCTTATACACGGTATTTGTTACACTCCCTTACATCTACACCTATGGCTGTAGCCATGTGAGTGTTGCTGGTTTACACACTGTAAAAAAAAGTTAAAAAAATCTGTCAAGGTGTCGAGAACAACAAGGTGTCAAGATGCCAAAACAGATATAGCATTAAAAAAAAAAACAATCTGTGAAACACTATTCAACTAACTAAACTGTAGAACATTAAGACTAACAATAAATATGTGTGAAATTTGCATTTTTCTTTTCTTTTTCTTTTCTTTTTTTTTTTAACCTGATGTAAAAACACTAAAGCAGTTCAGTTTTATGGTCACACCTTGTAAATTTTTTAATAACTATTTGTAAAAAAAATACAGATTTTTTCATGTGGACATTATGTACAGTTTTGGCTTGTTATTTTATTTTATTATTTTAACAGTTAGCATATAATTTAATTGTTTTTTTAATATGTGATTGTACTAGGAACCATCCGTAATTTAACAAAACAGATTGTTTTACAGCATTATAAAATTAACAAATCACCATTTTTTAAACATTTTTTCTTTCAAAAAACATAAAATATCAGTAAAATAGCAATATGTTTGGTGATTTAAATACAGCAAAAAATATTGCAGTTGTGCAGTCCATTTGTAAAAAAATAAATTTTGATGTGGACATTATTTCAAGCTTGTTTTTTTTTCAGGTCAACGTGTAAATCAACGCTTTATTCTGTGATTATGATGTTGTTATTTACAATTGAGCAAAAATTACAGTCGTAAACTTTATGTTTTCCAATATAGCTTTTTATATCCACCTGCCAAGGTGAGTCAACTCCACTGAACTAGTTCCACCCTCCAACCTGCCTCAGGTCCTGGAGTTGCTTCACATTTCTACTGAATAAAGCTTTTAGGAGCTCAGAAATGAACAAGTCTGTGACCGAATTAGACAAGAGTGGTGTAAACGCAGCCCGCGACATGACTACCAAACCATTAGCCACAGAAGACGCTGGGTGGGAGTAAAACTGTGCCGTGCCTATAGCAGGAACAGCAGCAGCAGCAGCAGCAGCAGCAGCAGCAGCAGCAGCAACAGCAGCAACAGCAGCAGCACCGCCCGTCCGGGATGTAACCGCTGCTGCCGCTGCTGCAACAACCCCACTCGCGTGACTCCACAAACGGGCGTCACGCACATTATCCGGTTAATTTACATACATAACACCGCCCAGGGGGACGAACATGATAAGCTGCCGTCGCTTGAAAGCCAGTCGTGCGGAGGAGAGAAAAAAACAGCCGAAAAAAAGTTTGGACAGGAGAGGGCTGTTTTAAACCGAGCCAAGTGTTTCGACAGTGACGAACGGCGGCTCGTCGGGCTCTTTGCCCCACTTTTGGATTACGATATGGACGCTTTGATATCCGCTGGAAGGGCAATTATACGGAGCCCCAGCATCGCCAAACAGTCCTGGGGTTCGGGCAAACATAAAAGTAAGTACTCAGTCGCTCAGTACACTACCGTGAAGGCGTTAGCTGCTGCTAATTTGGCTAAACCAAAGCTAACTTGGCTAAACCAAGCTAGCCTCCGTAAGTAGCTAACATTACAACCGGTGTTCTCTGAGCGCGACTTTACAACTCGTCTGTAGCGACGCTTGTTGGAGGCGAAATAGCTGGCAGCGTCGAGGGCGTTTGCTAGTATTAGTCACTCGGAAATGAATAATTTCATGTTAGAAAAGGTATGTAAAGTCGGAAATGTTTTTTTCTGGTTTTGAACTTGACACTCAGACTGACAGCAGTGACCCGCAGCTCGTAAACTGACTCCTGTTGAGGCTTCAGAGTAACAAGTTCACCTCCCGAACCGGCTCCGTGGAAACCTACCAAGTCCACGGAGTTGTTCCTTTATATTCACTGAGACCCAAAGCGGACACAAAAGTTTGGGGAGTCTTGTGAAATGCTGTTATTGTGTGCCACGTCACTGTGCCGACTGACACGGTTTGAGACGTACAACAGCGGCTCTGCGGGGAGCTGGAAGGCTGAGATGCGGACCTCAGCAGCCAGAGGCAGGGGAGCCTCAGAAGAGCCGAGTGGTCGTCTTCCTGGCAAGCCTGCACAATCCTAGCAACACACTGTTGCTAGGCGATACACAATGTGAAACAATAAAACGAGAGGCTGTATTAAGGAGTGGTTGCGGATTCTTTAAATCCCACCGAGGTGTCTGGTTCAGCCTTGTGCCGAGCTCGTATTAGGGGTGTAATAATCACGAAAGCCACCTTTAGGTTTTGCTCGGGATTCCACATGATACCTTTTGCAGCGTGTACAATCATTGCCCGGGCGGCTGAGCGTGATCACACGGCTGTGCTAGCGTGGTTTTGACATGCAGGCAGAGCTGCCGAGACTCTTTCATGTTTGCTTACACAAAGGGGGGGATGCCCCCTGCTCCAATGCCTTTTTTATTTCATAGACAATGGAGCACTTGGCAGCACGGTGTCACACGTGCCAGACAGTGCAATCGATGCTTTGTTTTGGTCCCCTCCTCTCAGGGGGGGAGTGATGCATAATCAGCAGGATCCCTCCACATCTGACCGGGCAGTGGTCACAGCGGCCCAACGCCTAATCAATCAACTGATGCTGGAAGCTCAGGCTGATGTTGATGAGCTTTGCCATGACTCCACATACAGTCCATGGCAGGAGTCTCATCCTCACATTCCTCTGTGGCTCTGACATTCAAGCAGAGAGAATCCAATCCTGCTAATCATTTTGGTTATTTCTTCACCCTCATTACTTATTCATTGGCAGTTTCGTCTGTGATCAAGTGGCTCTTCATCTTCTTCTTTAAAAAAAAAAATGTTTATATAATTACAGGCTTAACTGTGTTTCTGTGTCATGAATAAAATACACTGGCCTCATCTTATAGTTCAGAAGACTTCTGCTCCAAAGTACACCCCCTTTTCTTTTTTTTTTTGTTGCATGAGATGTATGAGGATGCAATTGTAGTTGTAGACTACAGAGTACAAATTGTGATCCTTCCTTCAAAAGCGTGCTTTAAGGCTTGACTTGTACTAGTGTAAAGATACAGCATTGTTAGGTTTAGACAGGTCCATAATTAAAGGCAAAATTTTGACACGAGTTTCCAGTAAGCTTGTGTGTGGGCTTGGCCTTGTCAAAGCAGCCTATTCACTAGTTTGGTATCTATCAGCGCTGCATTCCTTCTCTCCCTCTGTCAGTGTTGGATTGTAACAGGTTCTATTATTGTTTTCATGAAACTGCTGTGTCTGTTTTAATGATCACTGCATGTCAACATTTAAAGTGGACTGACATCAGTGCCTGCTTTGGCCTGCTTGCTCTGCTTTTGGGGTCATTTCCTGCATGGTTTTAAACAGCTCAGTTGCTTTTTGGCAGTCTGCTGAGCTGACAGAATGCTACCCTGCACTGCCCTCTCATTACATCCAAATAGTTCCCATTTTTCTGAGAGGAAAAAAACTGGTATGTAACATCAACCATCTTTTTAGGTCACGGAAAAACAGTTTTTTTTTTTCTTTGCCAAACTGAAAAGTGTGGGAGGTAGAAAATCCCTGTCTGCTTTGAAGAGAGACAGTTCCCACCCACGTTCCTGGTCAAGGAGCTGTCTTCTATGGGGTTGCCAATATTGAAACAGCTACATGTCAGTATGTCTGTTTAGTCGACCTCTACACGTGGGTGAGCAGAAGTGTATATGAGCTTTAACCGTGTGGACTCAATTTCATTTAACACCTACATGTGTGAGCCAGTGTTCATGATACTGCCACCAGAGATTGTAGTTGTGACTAACTTTCTGTTTATTTTCATTCAGATGGCATGGCTGCTTTGGCAGGGGTTGGGAATGGTGTTAAGATGTACATCTGCAGCTTAAAATTCATAGTGCTAAATGATAGAGACAAGTACCCTTCACTGTGTGGTCTGCACTGGTCAGTTCCCACTACACCTGCTGTGTCCCCTGCACAAAGTCATTCTAAGGGGCCTGCCAGGGTGTAATGGAGATTGCTTCCTGCAGGATTCCTTTATGGAGTTGTAAAATCCTTGCTGATTTACAGCGTTGTTAGATCTTCTGTATCTGTAAGCTACCTCTTTGTGTGGAGTCATGTGTGAGCATGTGTGGGCAGGGCTGCACTATCATGCTTTGTCACCGTTTCTCCTAAAGGACAGTTTTAATCCTCAGTGGAGATGGATGTTTGACTTTTTCTTGCTTCAGCTGACACAGCAGAACAAAATATTTGGTTTTGAAACGTCAGAATTGTTTTTTAACCTGTCACTATCATTGACTACACTGAGTGCAGAATTGTAGCCTGATGTGAAGCAAATGTTAATCTATTTCCATCTGTTACTCACTGCACCACATTGCATTTTGTAATCTGTGATCACAAAATTGTACATCTATTCCCATGGTTTATTATTTCAGAGGAAATACTGTTTCTGCTTTTCCTGTGTGCACCACAAAATTTGGGCCAAAAGACATCTTACACTTACAAAACACACTTAGGACACCAAGAAATTTAGAAAATGTATTGTTTTTAAATTAATGATTTGATAAACAGACAAAATGTCTTTCATTTGCCCCAACCGGTCACGGTGAAGACTTTGCAATTTCACAGAAAGACAGTGTTATTCTGTGAAACCAGTACATGAGTCTTAGTAGAAAGCACAGTGGCCTTCCTGGTAAGAAATAATTGATGTAATCTCCCTCAGCCATATGTCTAGACATATGGTCAGTGTTGTAGTTCAGAGTTCTCTGGTGTGATTGTCGGTAGGACATCTTGGTGACTAAATAAACACCACCTAAAGCTTTTATAGCAAGAGGAAAGCCTACAAGCACTAATTAAATATATTTAAACAGTGATCTCAGCCTAAAAGCAGTCACATTGTTGGTAATTCAGTGTCCTCTGCAATTACACACCCTTCCCTTTAATCTGTTCTCAGCAAGCAAGTAAATAATACAGGGCACTTGACAGGAGGACATAACTCTATAGGTCCCTAAGAATGAGCAATACATTATTCTGCACATATAGCAGGAATAACTTTTCTTTCTGTACTTTGTCAGTCATGCTGTGATGGTTTATGGATGTGTTTTGGGTGTTAGACCAGCAGACAGGAATAAAACTCGGGTGAAGCAATCTCTTTTCCCCTCCCTTGATCCTGGTAAGCATGTAATTCAGGGTAAAACTTATTGTTTTTAGTGCGTGCTCTAAAACAGATGTCTGTTTCAAACATTTCTTTTTTTCTTTAAGGTTTCAATATCCCCAGAGAAATATCTTGAGGAAAATCCCTTATGTTACATGCTTTCCCTTTACCCTCCACTCATTTTGCATATGAAATTCCCAGGAATTCAAGGGGAATTATTTTCAATAATGTAAGATTCCTGTCCTCCATGTGTGTGGCTGCCAGAAGTTGAAACATATCTCAGCAAAGAAGCACCTCAACATATTGGAGTAGGGATGCAGAGATTTGTAGAGGAGCTGACATGCACACTGCTAAAATCTCAGGGACACATTACAGATCTGTGGCCCTGTGTGTCACACTCTGACTCGTTAACCCTTTCCAGCCTGAACTAGAACCAGTCTATATTTGTTATGAAAATGCTGCCAGGGCCATTTTGTGAAGGTTGCCACATTCATAAAGAAGCCACCTTCTACTGCTATGTCCTTCATTTCAGTTTCATCAAAGTTTCTCTTGAGAAATTTAGCATTTTCAGTCACATCAATGCCAGTGACTCATTGTTGTAAGTCTGTTTTTGTGCACTCTAATTTGCAGTTTGATTAGAAGACAATTTTTGCTTGAGGTTTTTAGATCTCACTCTGGCCTCATTTGAGAATAAGGAGGTTTATAGTATTTCAGAGTTCTCCCAGGTGTCTCTTTCCATATAGCCCTGGTTGTTCATTTGTCTTATAGTTTGGCAGCTGTTGCTGACAAAGTATGGGGATGTTTTTTTTAGGTGGAACTTTCAAAAATAGCCCAAGGCTGAAGAAGTTAAACAAGACCAACATTCAACATGCCTTTAGGCAATATGTGACTTTAACAAAGATCCAAAGAGCTGGGCTTATTTATTTTTTTATTTTCTACCGTTTTACTGCACTGGTTTGGTGAAGAGGTCCTTGTGGGTTGTCTCTGTTCGTAGAAACTCATTCCTAGAGTTAGGTCCAAATTATTTTCATTTTAATTGGGTCCGTGTAGGCTTCTGTTCTACTGCTGAAGGTCTTGGGTCAGTGTGGTGGTATATCCAATACCTGAGTGGATTTAGGTGAACTCGTTATCAGGTGGTGTGTCATAATAGCTGTAGTTTAAAACCTAAAACATATTCGATACATATACTGCATAATGTATCAGACAAAGAAAAACAGCAAGCCCGTCACATTTGAGAAGCTAAACTCCAAGACGATTTGAAAGTATTTACTAATGGTCAGCAGACTCTACAGATGTTAAATAACAAATCAATTCAACTAAACTCTGTGTTTCCACGG